ATTGCTATTGGTTTATTGAAGCTGCAGCAAAGGTCTTTATTACAACTATCAGGTTATCTAGAGATAATGCAGTACATGAAACGAGCAGCCCGAGTAACGTACGATATTGATCGACTTTTTAAGGTAAGAAAAAAAGCGGTTATTTTAACTCTTGTGACTCTGGTCCCCCCACAGCGTGTTGTCAGTTTGTCTTTGTTCAAATGTAAAACGTCAGCCAAATGAGCAATATTTGATTGCGCAACATCCTCTATTCAAATTATTGGACTACAGCATGGTAGGCTGCGTAACAAACGTAGCGGCACTAAGGGGACTCGTTAGAGACAAGTGGGGATTGGGCTCGGTACTTCCCAGTCCCATTAGGGCACTACGCAGGCTATATCATGGCTGCAAACTTGTTTGATGCTCACTCCAACAGTGTCAAACAATGTAAAAAAAAAAAACGACTTTAAACTCCATTTGGTGCTCCATCCAATAACATCCAACAGCATCAAAAAAAGTAAAAAATATCTTAAAACTCCATTCAGCAATATCAAACAAGATGGACAAAACGTCTTCAGCCATCATTTTAGATTGACAATCGTTGCCAACAATACTTGCACAATGCAAGTGGATTTCCATTTTTAAGAGTCATAAAGTGGCATTTGATCCCTCCACCCCCCCCCCCCCCCCCCCCCCCCCCTTGCGTAGGCCTGTAAATGTGGTGCATGATCTATATGACGTTTTTTTCCCACGTTATGAGAGCCATGTTAATGTTGTTTGGCAGGCATCATTTGATGAGATAACGAAGTTCCCTAGCAACGAAGAATTGGAYGAAATGCAGAAGAAATATCGATCAGATATCGAAGCGAAGAACGACTTTAAACTCACTGTTAAACACGAAMGAAAGGTAMACAACAAWGARAAATAGTTGGGCTGYCTGTRKRAATGGGTTCKTAGTCTTTAAGGCACAGGCAGCCCAACCAAAAATCTTGAATCTTCACGCCTTACCTATGAAATGTAATATTGTTCCTATAGAGATCTAGAGTCAGTTCGTTCACAGTAGAGATTGCAACTCCAGACCGGTCAGACCGGCTTGACCACGTCCAGGTTGTGGAATGTGCAGTTGCTGCAAGCAAAGGTACGTTCTCATAATTCCATGACTAAAATATCATTAACAGGGAGGGGTTGGGAACTGGTCGATCAGATTTCTCATATATAGATTGTGAGGTGACTTCAGTTATTTATTCGCTATCCGTTTCCATCCGTCTCCATGCCGTCCGCGAAGACCTTGAGAAGCGCCATTTTCAACAACGTCGAAATTATTTGTAGTGCTACCTTTCACAATCTGTCAAAAATCTCAAACATCTCTAGGTTTTTCCAAATAAGTTTGATATATATTATTTCTTTATTTAACATTTAGTCATTTTCTTGAATTGTTTCGAATATTGCGTCTTTTTTAAACGTGTTATTTTTTAGCTTTTCTTAATATAGAAAATGAGGTGACTTTAGATATTCATTTGCAATTTGTTTCCATCCGTAAAATCTCCATTCATGGAACATAAAGGGATATTAGAGAGCAACATTTTTCGTATATTACGATGTATTTTTCATTTTCAAACATAATAAAATCTCAAAAGGGTTGTCGGTAGATCATGGCCTTCTTAAGTATCAGTCATTTTCTAGTGAAAATATTGACATCTTAGAAAACCATCTGTTTAAACACAAATATCAAGGTGTTTATTGCATTATTCGCGCTTGTCTCGCAAATAAATCACAAAATCACTTTTATTAATCCATAACTAAGTCATATTCAGGTTTGAACAACTGAGTAAATGTTTGTATAATAACTATGAGATTATAATATTTTTTGAAGTGGTTTTGGCATAAATGCCACGAGGGATATTTCATAACTTGGGTGAAATTTTCGTGAGGATATTTCAAAATTAACCTTAAATATGACAAGAGTAACATTTATTTCAAATATCACTTCTAATCATCCAGTTATTTTTATGTTGTCTAATAGAAGTCTACAATTTGGCCGCTGTTCTCCCTCGATGGACAGTTATAGTTCCTATAGGAACATTGAAATACGCATATCAAAAATGATAAAAATTAACCCCTTTTATCAAAAGAAAGGGTAATTTAGATAAAGTTTAAAATATAAGTTAGCAAAAAAAGCAATAGTTTTATATGTGTATAAAAAAACAAGGCAAAAAGAAAGAACAACAAAGAAAGAAAGAAAAACAAAAACAAAAATGCTGATAAAAAGTTTTAATACGTTTCATTTCTGACCGTTTTTATTAATTGGTTTTAAATAAGATTTTTACAAATTAGTGTCAGTGAAATAAGTTCTTATTTTATAACAAATAAGTTAAAACTGAAGATATTCGCCAAAATAACCCACACAAACTGCAAACATAAACGCAAACATTTCCAACTCGGAATTGCCGTAGCAAAATACTCCATCTATTGCATAAGCTCATAAGAAGTCTTGCTTATTTGCATGAAGTGAAGAGCCATATCTTGGCAACAAAAATGCGGTTTCCCTGAGGGCAATAATCATGTAAATTTATATCTTGTTTTTAGCTAGTTAAATAAGATGATTCGCTGTGTAATAGGGTCAGTTTGACCTCGAAACCCAAACGCCATCCGACAGTTTAGAATGCAGCGAGATTAAAAAGTCTTATAAATGACTTTTTGATTCGAAAAATACATTAAATTTAAGCCAGTTGACCAATTATAAGCTTAATATTATGTTTTTTATAACGCTCTAGGCAAAATGATTGTATTGTTTTACCATTATGCTGCCCCTTGTATATCTTTCTTAATCAAAAGTGTTATATATTTCTCAAATTTTCTCATTCAACTGGAGAAAAACATCTGAACAAGCTCCTTCGATTAATTTTCTTTTTTTCTTTGAAATCTGTTTCTTCCAGTTATTTATTACAAAGCTTGCATTTCTGATGGTCGAGTGTCGATTTACTCGGTCCCCGAGGCTGGAAGCTTTTATTTTTCGAGATTCTATCCATTGCATTACTTCATCAGCGATTGGTATCCCTAGGAAATTGTATATATCTTGAGCTACTCTCTTTGTCTGTACTACCATGTCTTCGTATCGAACAAACATGTACCTACTTTGTAGCCATTCTGGAGGATGACGTCGCAATGTGAGGTTGTTTTTCAGAGGCCTACAAATGCTTTGTACGTTTTGATAGAAGTCAGGATCTGGGTAATCTTTAATCCATTTATACCGAGTCCATGAATAAACAATAGCTCTAGGATCTCGAACTAAATGAATTATCTTAACTTGTCGTTTTCGTGCCAGTCCATTCTTAACCAATTCTTCGAGACTGCTTAAAGAAGCACTTGGTAATCTCCCAGAAAGTATTTTAACTGCTCTATGCTTGAAATGCTTGCACAAGTGTTGGAAACGAGCCGTCAGTACTTTGCCTTTCTCAATTATTTTCGCTAAAACCCTGCTTCTTCTCTGTTGAAGTTTTATTGAAGCAAGTTCTTGGAGATATTTTGTCTTTCCAGTGATATTACAAGCTAAGAAGGTTTCCAATTTGAGAACTGCTTCCTCTTTGTACTCCGGATCTTCTTTGTCGAAGAGTATGTTGTTCCTTTGTCTACTAGATTTGTTATTACCACTCAAAACACCCGTAGTTACGTGCAGAGGTTCAAAAACATACATGATRTCTGGGTGCTGGTTTAGTAACTCGCCGAGAAATGTTGTCCCCGAACGGCCTTGGCCAACAACTACGATATCCAATCTTATTTGACCTTCTYCTGTCGCTGARTGAATGCTGATTTCATTGCTTGGAAAGTTTATGATGAGAACGATCGATGTACAACATACGATTATAAATATTTTCAGTAATACGGAGGCTACTTTGCCTTGTGAAATCATAGTAGTAATACAAGTTCTCGTGAAACCAACTGATAGAATTGAAGAATGCTGATTTGCGAAAACTGATTCTGCTGGTAACTATATTTATTCTTGACTACGTCAAGAGCGGAACAGCGGTTGGACCAACCACAGGTAACCCAGGCTCAATAAATAAATTAAAGTTTGTCGTACGCACAATATTTTGTTTGTCCGTAAATGATATTTATAACATAAATTAAACTCTCTTACCTTCCAGGTTTGAAATATTTCGATTTTTAGAGGATTGATGCACTAAGTATATGTAGGATAAAGGCGTAAATCCTTTAAAAATCGAGATATTTCAAAACCAAGAAGCAAGAGACGTTTTATTTATGTTATAAATTTTATTTAAGGACAAAAAAATATTGTGCGTACGACAAACTTTATACTTGTTCATTGAGCCAGGGTAACCTGTGCACGAACGAAAGTAATTGTTGATATTCTTATCACTTTTTAGTGAATAATTTTCACTCACCTCCAGAATAAAACACAAACCAAGCAAAGCACAATAAAAGATATTTATTTAAAGTAAATTAATATTGCTATCAATAGTCAATACTCATACTGTAACCTTTAGCCTGCGTTTAGCCGAACCAAAACTGTCGTTGTGTGACAGTTTTAATTTGGTTCGGCTGAACTCAAGCTAAGAAACCTTCGGTCGTGGATTCGCCATTCTTCCCGACAAACCTTTTTAAAAATACCWATATTTGCAATCAGATGTTTGTATTTAGATAATTAATTAGACTCTTTGCTTCTAACACTGTTCGTGAAAACTACTTTTTAACTACTTTTAAAATATGACATACGATTAGCATAATATCCTTAAAATGATATTTTTTGCACTTATTTACTAAGTTGACGGCATCAAAGTCGGTCTTATTTTTAACTCTAGTTTATATTTCCCGCATCAAAGAGCACAGATAAAAGAAGAAAGGTTGCTCTCGCAATTCTTTGAAAATTTAACAAGAAATAGAAAAAAAATAAGTATTTTAAGATGACGATWAAAAGGAAGCTACATAAATATTGACGCCCGGTCCTAAAACCGCAGACMATCGRCATCACAGGCTATTTTCATCTGAGGATTGTCAGTCAATAATMMAGTTTCGARTTCTACAATGCTCTGTGTTAGCCTCATTTGTGAGCAAAAAATATTACTAATTGTGAGAATAAAAGTGCGAGATTTCAAAATCAATTTTATTGTCTTTCTTCAAAAATTCCATGCGTTTTCACAAGCTATCAAGAAAACAAAAGAATATGTTACTTGGTTTTGAGGCTAACACAGAGCAAACCAGAACTCGAAATTGGAGTATTTTATTTTTATCTTTTCTTGCACATTTACTTGTATCTTTGTTTTGTATAGACCTCTCSAAACCTGTATGTATAGCATGTAGTGTACGAGGAGAAACGAAGCTCTATTTGCTTGACATCGACAAGAAGGAGAGAAGTACACTGGAAGTCGATGTAAGTTTGACCTGACTTGGACAAATGTTGGATGTTATTTGAATAATTTATTTATTTATTTATATGCTTTCACCATACGAGTCAAGACAAAAACCTGAATATAAATAGCGGACCTAATGGCGTCGCTTCACATTGCCTGGAATCTCATATAAAACTACAGATATAAAACTACCAGGCTATGCTTATGCCTATGCAGTCTCGTTCTCACTAAGCATAAGCATGAGATAGGCACAAGAAGATCAAGCCTTGCTCGTTTTTCTTGTGCTCATGCTTATGCTTATTTTGAGCCCGTTCTCACTGGCGCATATGACTCTCGTGCTTCGTGCTTATGTCTATGCTTATGCGCTAGTGAAATCCACGCTTTAATACAATAAGTTTATAGTTATTCTGTACTCATTATAGATCGATTCTCGTGTGCTCTGTGCGGATGTAGTTGGTGACGGTACCCTCTTAATTGGTACCGTGTCCTGGTTTATATATGCCTTTTGTCTAGACTCTTGGTAAGTTAAACAGCGGACATATCCCATTTTGTCATGCGCAAGAGAATAGTCTCTTTGAGTTCCCTGCGCTATCTTGAAAGGTAACCATGCCTTTGAGACAAGCGTGTGATGAAGTGATCCTTCTTTCATTTGCAAGGCTGTTTTGCTGTAATTTTGAACTTATTACTAATATTTTGTGGGGGGCCAGTGCCCCCCGGCTCCGCCGCCCCTGACAATTTTTTATTAGTCTCACGACAGTTGTAGCTATTAAGGGAATTAGACGACACAACGTTTGCCTACTATACTATCGCATACAACTCATCCTTACAACATGGTTACAACTTGTTTTAAATCCCTACGACAGTTGTATCCATGTTGTACTTACGCAGGATGGATGAGATGGTTGTAAGGCAGCAAAAGTTATGCCGTCCAAATCAATCTTTTTGATCCATCCAAACTTTATCCAACTTTAATGCAGTCTTGGCTACCGCTGATTTGTAGTATTGTTTGTAGTGAGGAGATCTGGAGCATTCAGCTTAGCGACTCTGTGATTGACTTGTGTCATTACTATGACGAGACAGATGACAAGGTGTACGCGGCTTTGGCTGATGGTTCTATCGCTGTCTTACCGGTACGTTGTGTTTTCTTTCTTTTTGTATTTCTTTCTCTTTTTTCCCCTCCAGTTTATCGTGTGTTTTTGAATAAGAGAGGCTATTAAATGAAGAACGCGGCCAACTCAACGTCCCATTGATCTTACCAGGCTTCTTCACCTTTCCTTGATTATTCTCAAAACCATCAAAACTCTTTTGATTGCTCCCTTAATATAAGTACTGCACTTCTATTGTTGATCAGGTTTTTGACTATTCTTTGGAATACAATCTATTGTTTGTCCATTGTTTTCTCAGTTTTCTCACGAGATTCGTTACCATCGGTTGTGGTGACCCGACTTTCCAAAATGTAAAAACGGATAATGCTAAATCGACTGTTCAAAAAGAATTTTATATTTTGCTTGTTGTTCGCAAAGCAACCTGAAACTGCTATCCCATAGTACACCTCGCCGAGCATGACGTCATAAGAGGAAGAAACCATTATTTCCAAAGAAACTGTATGTGATCTTGCGAATGTGTCCAGAAAATGGTCAAAATTCGGACACATTCATGGCTTCCCATATATTTCTTTGCAAATTTTAGAATACTTGAAATATTTGTAACTCGTTCGCTATCGAACTGATTGACACCAGATTTTGGAATTTTGCATTTTTCAACAAGGGCTTTCTTTCTATGTAAGTCTTATGTCATGATTATCTAATTAGGGAGTTTTTGCTCAGTCAAACACGGTTTGAAATCCGGCAATAATCTGCTCTTTGTTTGTTGTTTAGAATGCTAATTCCGATGGCCCGCCGTCTCAAGGATCACATGTTCGAATTGGCTCCGCCCCGGTGATGTGCGTCACGTTAGTCGATGACAAAGTGTGGTGTGGCTGCAGTAATAATGTTGTTATCTTGGAAACGAGGTAAAGTTTAGCAGTTGAACTGAGGGCACTATGAACCGGGATACGGGGA